ATAAATACTAGACAGTAGACATAAGAATATTAACATAATTGAATCACAATTCGACATGCATTAGATCAAGATCATAAAGTCATACATAGGCTAAAATCGAGTTTGTGAAAGAGCATGGGTTCATCATGCAATAGGAATGAAAATAACGTCCAAATAAGTAGATTATCATTAATACATTCATATTATGCTTTTGAAATCAATTTAAGAAAGAATCCATGGCTAGAATGAAGAGGAAGAACTTGATCATATTTTTCTCTTTGAAAACTTTGAGATTAACTCTCTAGATGGAAGGATAACTAGAGATGAAGGATCACCATATTTATCTACATTAACATCTCTAAAAATTCGTGATTCACCTATGGAAATCAGAGCTCCAAGATGTTCTTGAGCTTCACCAACAATGGTGGTTTCTATGGAGAATGTTTTAGAGGGAAAAGGTTCAATTCGTGGGAGAGGATTTGGAATGAGTTCTTCACGTGTTAGATGACTTATATACACCCAAAAGTATCTAAATAAACCTATTAGATTCAGGTTAGGACATGGGGTGATTTTCCCATTCACCCCTTAAATGAAACAAACGCAGGCAATAGGTTGCAGGCCACCATCGACTGAACAATCTTTTGGCCGTTAGTCAGTCGATGGGCCGTGCATTGTCTTCCATCGATTGGTCCTTGGAAATTTTTAGGTTGAGACCTGAAAAGATAATTACAAGTCGATGAGACCTCACCAATGGGCCGTTGGTTGACCAAATGGTCGTCGTTTGGTCCATCGATTGACACTGTCAAGCCAGTGTCTCTACCAGCCTTGGGTCCTTCTTGTGGGTCCTTTTGCGGGGCCCTTTAGAGGTCGTACCCAGAAATTTCCAAAGTAAATACAAAAAATAAAAAGTTTTATACCTTACACATAAGTTTCACCCAAAACAAACACCTGCAACTCGTCCGACAGGCTAGGCCCCATCAAGACACACGTTGAGCATCTTAAGGGCTATCTTTTGAACGCCTTGGACGTTGTTTTGGTTGTTTGACCTCCAAACTTCTCAAAACTCCATATATCATGTTTAAACATCATTATAACTCATTTTAATACTTAATAATCTCATGACATATAGTCTATATACCCCCTATCTCATTTTGGGGTCTTACAATAAAGCTTAGATGGATTTTCCTCAAATGTTTCTCAATATGTCAATCTTAAGGATAACAAATTCTCAGGATTAAAAGTCATGATTGTCATATAATTCTACAAAATATACTCCCTCTTTCCATGCATGGTATGCTTTGCAAATCTGTGTCTAAACTTCTTATTGAGTTGTCTGTTTTTTTCAAAGTGGTTGGTGCAAAATGTTTGAGCATAGAGGAGTTGGAACAAATAGAAGCTCAAATACCAAAAACATTGTGCTAGTTAGAAAAAGTGTTCCCTCTTGCATTTTTTGATGTCATGGTGCACTTGTCTATTCATCTACCTGATGAAGCTAAGATTGCTGGACCAATTCAGTATCGATGGATGTATCCAATAGAGATATACCTACACTTTTTAAAGTGTTTTATTGGTAACATGGCTCACCCTGAAGGTACAATTGTAGAGGGATATTTAGCAGTTGAATGTATTACTTTATGTTCAAGGTATTTGAATACAATAAAGACAAAGTTTAATTATCCGGAGAGAAATTATGATGGTGGTGTAATTGAATCTGATGGTGGTTTGACAATAATGTGAACCTGGAAAAAGTTTAAAGGGTAGCACACCAGACAAACTTGATTCAAACGATTTGGAGGACGCAAATTACTATAGTTTGAAGAATTGTAATGAAATTCAACCATTCCTCGAGTAAGTATTGCTTTAATTTAATAATGTATTTAAACCTTGTAGATATGTTTAATTTAAAATAACATGTAAAACTTCAATTCTTTGTTAGAGAATTTTCACAAATTCATAATGAGACCTCTAAACAAAGTTCAGATGTGGAGTGGAATAGAAAATTCATTAGTTGGTTATAAAAAAAGGTTAGTAGAAATTAACTGGTTTTCTTAAATCAAGAATGCAATTAAATATTGTTTTCCAAAAAGCTATTTGATGTTGTTAGGTTGCAGGATTATACAAATATGATGATAGTAAGTGAATGAAAGACTTGTTATCTTTATCACGTGGCCTTATGCCATATGTCACAAGATGCAAAGGTCATATTGTATGGATATAGGTTTCATGTGAAAGAGTATAATCCATATCTAAAAACTCAAAATTGTGGAGTGGTTGTAGTAGGTGAAACCGGTGAAGAACAAAACCTTATGAATAATTATGGCGAGTTAACTAAGTTCTTGAACTACAATTTGTTGGGGGAAGAAGAGTGATTTTATTCTGATGTATGTGGTTTGATGTATATGATCAAAGAGGGGGGTTATAATGGATGAATATGGATTTTTAAGTGTTAACTGTCGACGATATTTGAAAATAAATGAGTCATTTGTATTAGCTAGCCAAGCATCACAAGTATTTTATGTTATCTATCATTCCAATAAAGGTTGACACATAGTGCAAAAGGTTCAACCTCGTGATTCTTTTGATAATTTGGAAAAAGGGATGATGACTTAGCAGATTTAGATAAATCTACAAGTGAAAAGAAAAAGAACTCATTAAGGTTTGGAGCTTTTTCATGCTTTCCTTTACTTACTTTATTTTTGTATGGTAATGACTATTTATAGTATTTCTCTGAAAATTTATTAATGCACTTGGTTTTTAACGTCACCTTGATCTTACTATAGTAGTAATGGTTCATGCTAGGAACTTATGTTACATGTACATGTATCTCTTTTCTGAATGCGGTTTCAGTTCACATTTATTCTTATGAAAAATTCCCTAACCTATTTGAACTTTTGTTTTGAAGACTTCGCTCTTATTTTTTTTTATCTAGGTTCACATGAATCCCTCAAAAACTCTGAAGTATGAAATGGGAAAATATTCAAAAATTTCCAAGCATGAACTCATTCAACCAGGTGACTTAGCAAAATGACTAGGTCAAAGTTCGAAATCTATGAGCACATTCAGAGTTAATGCTTGAATAAGCTAGCAGATAATAGTTACCATATGCATCCTTGTTTTGAGGAAAAGGAAGGCAATGCTCCCCTCCATCAAGAAGTTGAAATGAATCAATACACTTTGACTAGTTATGCAAAGGGTCAGGGACAAATGTTAAGGATTAATGCTAAAAAAAGGACTATGATTGGCGAAAATAGATTAATTACACCAACTTATAGTCGAAATAAGCCAGTAAAGAAAATTATCCTGTGCCTCTTGATTTTTATCCAATGGAAGAAACTGACGCCCTCTTTCGAGAAACGGAAGTGACTCGAGATACTCAAAGAAGTGATCATTTGGAAAAGAGTTAGTTTGGTTAATCTGTTTGATCAAGAAATTCTTCTTAACTTTCTCTACTTTATCTCCTTCATATTTTTTTTGTTACTAATTGAAATAAACTTCTTATTTTTGTTGACTTCCATCAAAATTTGCAGGTCCATTTGAATTCGATAAGTCCAAAAAAGTGATTGAAGTGCCTCGAGTTTCCCAAAGAAGTGATACTGTAATTTTATTTTATTTGTGTAACTTCTTTTTGTTAGTTGAATTGATGTCCTGATTGTTTTTTACTTGCACTTAAATTTGCAGGTCTATTTGAATCTCGAAAAGCAAAAAAAATGGTTGGAGTGGCTCAAGGTTCTAAGGGAAATCAAACTAGTAAGTATTTTCTTGTTGTTACATGTAAAGCAACAAAATAATTATCTATGATTTGCTTTCCTAGGAAATAGATTTGTTAGAATGTTTTTCTTCCCGTGTATTTTGGTTGAGTTTTGTTATAAATGATTGATTTATGTTTTAAAAGTTATAAGTTATAGCTATCCGACATTCTATGACGAATTGACCTCAAATTGTTTTTCTTTAAAAACAGATGAAGAATGTGATGAAGATTATACGTCTTGTTGAAGAACTGTGGAGCCACCTGAAAAGAAAGAATAAATTATTATTGTTGGTTTAGATCTAGAGATGTTTTAACCTATATAAGCAGTTATGTCATTTTCTCAATTTTAGGATTCGATAGACGCCGAACATGTGTGTTTTATAATATTTATGTTGAATATCTATGCTGTTTAGATCTTATGTTGAATATGTTTCTTAGATATTGTGTTGAACACATATTTATATTTAAGTTTTTCAGTATGCTTTCGTTCATTGCAAAAAAATTTATTAAATGTTATATTAAATATATTAGGGCTTATGCAAAATAAAAAGATATTATGATCTGGAATTGCTTGAGGATAAACACTATTTTATTTGAAACTAAATTTGTGAAACAAACATGGTCGTTAAATTTATTAAAATCAACGAATGTAATCAAAAAAAGAATCTGACCACTGAACATACTTGTAACGGCTAGAAATTTTTATTTTACTTCAACGTACTAACGATCAAATGACCATCAACGACGGGAATTTGTAGCCATTGTTAGTAAATGTGGCGACCAGATTTATGGTTGTCGCTAAGTAATATCTAACTACCGGTTATGCAATCCGGTCGTTAACTTTTAACGACAGAGCTTTTAACGACCGGTGACGACCAATTTTTTTTCCGATCGTTATAGACCTTTAACGACTGCATATGAATTTTTAACGACCGGGTTTCTTTTCATTAAAAGTCATTTTTCTTGTAGTCAGATATACTGAATATGACTTATTCTTGAAAAAAGAAAGTCAAATCTCAATGGAGATTTATCTCTTTATATTGTTGGTGAGTGATTGAAGTTGGTAGATGACCTGATGAAACTAAATCCAATATTCTTTTCCCCTCCCAATAGATATGTATACTATCTATAAATATATCAACATAGAGATATTAATGCTAACCCAAAAAAGGAAAAACATATTTTTCTTCTTTTTCAAGAAAGTAGGAAAAAAGCAAATTCTTTTGCTTTATATATATGTATGTATGTTGTCACCAGATCATGCTGGCATCTTCAACCTCTCAAACAAAGAAAAGAATTATGTACTTGTGCATATTACTATTATATATACTGAAATGTAATAAATTAGGACGACCAAGGGTAAGGTCTTAAATATTTTCATTTTCAAGGGTAGTATAGTCAATATACCATGCAGATTTTTTTAGCAAACCATTTGTACCTCTTCATATTCTTCCAGAACGTTCTCCCTCTTTCATGAATCGATCATCTTCTTCTTTTTATTACTTTATCTAATAAAAAAAAATTTGGCACAATCCTATGATATTTTCATATTATCATCAGGCTACCACCATTTCCAGATATGCTTACTCTCCCCCTCAATGTTCTTCGACTTCATCTTCTTCTTTGTGTTTCTCTTTTCCCCCTTTATCAAGGTTCTTTTTGTTCTCTTTCAGTTTTATAATTCATGGCTAAAATTAATGTTAAGGTGTGTTAATTACAGTATTTGGAATCACATGAACATCACTTACAAATATACATTTTATGTTTATAGGAGGTCGAGGCTTCCTCTGAATAAGCGGCTCGTACTGTCATTTTTCATTCTAGGATTAACTGGGTAAGTTTTATATTTTGGATTTGTTTTATTAATTTCCATAAAATTGTCTTTGCTCGGATGTTCTTGTCTTCACCAGCAATTTTATGGAAATTAATAAAACAAATCCAAAATATAAAACTTACCCAGTTAATCCTAGAATGAAGAATGACAGTTGAGCCACTTATTCAGAGGAAGACTCAACCTCCTATAAACATAAAATGTACATTTCTAATTGATGTTCATGTGATTCCAAATATTGTAATTAACACACCTTAACATTAATTTTAGCCATGAATTATAAAATTGAAAGAGAACAAAAAGAAATTTGGCAAACCTTGATAAAGGGGGAAAAGAGAAACACAAAGAAGAAGATGAAGCCGAAGAACATCAGTAAGCATATTAAAAATGGTGGTAGCCTGATGATCATATGAAAATAGCATAGGATTGCGTCAACTTTTTTTATTATTATTAGATAGAGTTATAAAAAGAGGAAGGTGATCAAATCAGGAAAGAGAGAGAGCGTTCTGGAAGAAAATGAAGAGGTACGAATGGTTTGCTAAAAAATTTGTATGGTATAATGACTATATTACCCTTGCAAATAAAAATATTCAAAACCTTACCCTTGGTATTTCTAATTTATATCACTTCTATATAATAGTAATATTTATCTTCATGAGATCACTTTGAATGTTTTAAGGGTATGAAATTTTGTATACTATTTGGAGTGGCAAGGAAAATAATTCCTTAGCTAGATTGTGTGATGACCAAGAATTCAAGCTCCTAATAACAAATATTTTATTGGTTTGGTTATGGTTTAAGGTGTTCACAAACTGTTATTTGTAGTTTTGATGATGTAACAATCTGAGGGATCTTGTAAAGGTACCTGGTTCTCAACTTGAACAGTTCGTTGACTGCCAACTGGAGAAGGTATAGAAATATGGTGCACAGTTCCCAACTGCGTCAGAAAAGTCAGACCTTTCCAACCAATGACATGAGTTTAAGGAAAGGGACCTGTCTATACAATGTCATCTTTCTAAACATGGTTCTTCAGTTTATGCAACTTGAAAAACTACATTCAAGAACTCTTGCAAGGGCTAAAGAAAATGAAAGAGAAGAATCATTCAAGAACAACCTAAACCCAGGCGTATATTGTGTAGTTGTATGAGAATATATTCTTTTGGTATTACAGTGTAAACTGATCCTAAATCTATAAAGGAATCAGTGTGGGTTGTGTTGAAATTCTAAGTTGTCTAGAGTGATAGCTTAGTGGGTAGAATAACTTCTACTTAGGCTCATCAAGCGATAGAGCTTAAAAATTTTGGTGAGATTAAAAATTTTTCTCACATTTGTGTAACTGGTTTTACTTTTGCTTGCGAAGATTAGTGAAATAGTTGTGAAAATCATGTGAGACATGTCATGATTTTACTCCCTTGAGCAAGGAGGTTTCTACATAAAACTCTTCTATTGTTAAACTGCATTTACTTTCTGCTATATCTTTGTTTGTGTGTCAAGGGACCTGGTCCATTGACTGATAGTGGACGCACGGATTCTAACAAGTGGTATCAGACAAGGCACTTTCTATCTGGTTAACACCAGGAGAGTGATTAATGTTCTAGAATAACTGCTCCACTTAATCTGGAAGAGGGTCAGTCTTCAACTAGACCTCCTCGTTTCAATAGACACTTTTATAGTTGGTGGAAAGTCAGAATGCATGATTTCCTTATGGCTGAAGACAGTGAGCTATGGGATATTGTCCTAGATGGACCATTTATTCCTATGATTGAAGAGAAAGATGGTGAAAAAACTAGGCTTGTTCCTAAGCCTAGACAAAAATATGATGAAGCTGATAGGAATAAGATTGAAAAGGGGTACAAAGCAAAGAAACTTCTTGTCTGTGGGATAGGACCGGATGAGTTCAATCATGTCTCAGCCTGTGAATCTTCAAAACAGATCTGGGATTGTTTAAAAACAGCTCATGAGGGAATTGAACAAGTGAAAGAGTCAAAGATTGATATGATATCATCTCAGTATGAAAATTTCAAAATGAGAGAAGGTGAAACTATTCATGAAATGTTCACTAAACTCTCATCCATCACAAATGAGTTGAGAAGTCTTGGAGAACCTATCAGTATAAGCAAGCCAGTTAGGAAACTGATATGAATCCTTCCCAAGTCTTGGGAAAGTAAGGTTGATGCTATTACTGAAGCAAAAGACCTGAAAGTGTTAACAATGGATGCTCTCATTGGAAATCTAAAGACTCATGAGATAAATCGAAGTCATGATCAGTCAAAGAAGAAAGTCAAGAAAGATAAGTCCTTGATGTTGAACTACAAATCTGAAGAGGAATCCAGTGATGATGATGATGATATGGCTTATCTCATCAAAAGATTTCAGAAGATTGTGAAAAAAAAACAAATGTTTTAAAAAGGGAGCAAATGTTCCTCGAACTGCCACTCAAAATGATACCTGTTATAAGTGTGGAAAAGCTGGACACTTTTTAAGAGATTGTCCATTACTCAAAGCTGAAAACAAAGAGTATCAAAAATCAAGAAGTGCTAAAGAAAAAAGAAGGGACATGGTACTTAATAAGAATGATCGGAAAGCTGCTGCTGACTATGTGGTCAAGAAAGCTCTTGTTGCATGGGGAGACTCTTCAAGTGACTCAAAAGATCTTGATGAACCAAATGATGTGTCAATGGTGGTGGTTCATGAAGAGGAAACCATATTCAATGAGATGTTTGCTTTCATGGCTCATTCAGAAAATTAAGATGATGAGGACAAGGTAACTCTACTTGATATGAAACATGATTTGAATACTTATTCTCTTAATAAATTGAGAACATTAGCAAATTTTATGATTGATTCAGTGATTGAGTTAACTTCTAAAAGACATATTATGAATGCTGAGCTTGAAAGTTTAAATGAAAATAGAGATAAAATGGATGAGAAAATGCTGAAAATTGAAGATAAAATGGCTTCTCTGGATTTGACAAAACAAAATTTAAAAAACAGTTGCATCTGATAAATGAGAAAGCTGAAGAGCAAAAGGAAAGTCTAATTGTTTACAAGTTGAACTTGAAGAAAAACTGAAAACCTCTGAGACTAATCTTGGTTTTGCTTTGGAAAAGATCAACGACTTAGAAAGAGATATTGTCAAACTTAAAAATGAACTTGAAAAATCTCTTAAGTGGATAAAATCTTCTAAGTTGTTGTCAAACGTAACAAATCAAAGTAATTTTAACAAGAAGGGTCTAGGAAGTTTGAATAATACTCCTCCTTTTAATCCTCACAACAAATATGTATTTGTGTCTGACAATTTGTTGTGCCTTCATTGTGGTAAAAATGGGCATTTAAAAGAATAGTGTATTGCCTGGAGAAAGTCACATGAAAGACTCTCAAAGTATACAGAGAAGCAAAGGGTATCAAAAGAGAGACCTGGTCCCACAAAACAATTCTTAACAAAAAGGTTTTCAAAGAAAGGACCCGATTCTGCTTCAAAATCATTTGTCAAAAAAAATCTGAAACTACCTCATGGGTTAGAAACAATCTAATCACACCTTTGTCTGCTTTCTGGGAACTCAAATTGAAATGGGTTCCCAAGCCTAACAAGTGATTCTTGCTGCTGGTGAGTGAGAGGAGCAGCAGTCAATGCTGGTACATGGACAGTGAATGCTCTAAACATATGACTGGTGATATCAAAAATTTCCTCTCACTCAAGGCACTTCAGGGAGGAGGTGTCTCTTTTGGTGATGGAAAAAAGGGGTATATTTTGGGAGTTGGTAGAGTGGGAATATCTCCTGCAGAATCAATTGAAAATGTGTATCATGTCAGTGGGTTAAAGTATTGTCTTTTGAGTGTGTCTCAAATTTGTGATAAGGGAAATGAAGTGAAGTTTACTTCTGAGAAGTTCACTGTAGTTAATCTAACTACAAAGAAAGTGATTCATACTGCTTATAAAAGTAAAAACATGTATGTACTAACTTAGAAACATCTCATGGAAATGATCTGACATGTCTTACTGCTCAAAATGAAAATGCTGATCTGTGGCATCGAAGACTAGGGCATGTGAGCTCATCTCTATTGAATAAACTGATTTCTAAGGACCTGGCCCTAGGTTTGCCAAAGTTGAAATTTTGTGAAAACAAAATTGGTGAAGCCTGTGTAAAAGGAAAACAAATCAGATCATCCTTCAAGCCAAAGAAGCAAGTAACTTCATCAACAGTTTTGGAGCTGCTACACATGGATTTATGTGGACCTTTGAAGGTTCAAAGCAGAAATGGAAAGATGAGTTGATTGAGTTTTTCAATTCACAAGAAATTGAAGGAAGTGAAGTTGTTGTAAATGACCAGTTGAGGAATGACAACAATGATCATAGTTTATCTGAAAAGACTGATGAAGTTGAAAAATGTGAAGAGGAACCTGGTACCATTCTGAACTCAAGTGATAATATCTCAAACTCTCCAGTAAATGATGAACTTCTTGAAGAAGAAGAACATACTGATCAGCTGCACCAGTTGACCTTCAGAGTAGGATGGAAACATAGTTCATCACATCCACTTAATAATCTTATCTCACCTATGAACTCTGGAATTCACACTAGATCAAAAACAAGAAATCTATTTGCATTCTCGGTGTTTATATCATCAATTGAGCCTAAGAATGTGAAAGCGGCATTAGGTGATGCAGATTGGATAAATTCAATGCAAGAAGAACTTCATCAGTTTGAAAGAAGTAAGGTGTGGTACCTGGTTCCTCGACCTGTTGACAGAACCGTTATAGGAACCAGATGGGTTTTCAGAAACAAGCTTGATGAAAATGGTGTGATTACTAGAAACAAATCCAAGTTAGTTGTTCAAGGATACAATCATGAGGAAGGAATATACTATGATGAAACTTTTGTTCCTGTTGCAAGGATGGAGGCTATCAGAATTCTCATAGCCTTTGCAGCATTCATTGGATTCAAGCTATATCAAATGGATGTCAAGAGTTCTTTCCTAAATGGAGACTTAAAAGAGGAGGTGTTTGTTAAACAACCTCCTGGGTTTGAGGATGCTGAGTAACCAGATCATGTGTTCAAATTGAATAAGGCTCTATATGGTTTAAAACAAGCTCCCAGATGAAAGATTGTCAATGATTCTGCTGAAAATGGGTTTAAAAGAGGGAAAATAGATAATACCTTATTCTTATTAAAAAGAGAACAAGAATTACTTATTATACCGGTATATGTGGATGAAATTATCTTTGGAGCTACATCGGAGCATTTGTGTTAAGAATTTTCATCATTAATGGGAAAGGAGTTTGAGATGAGCATGATGGGTGAATTGACCTTCTTTCTGGGGTTACAAATCAAGCAATCATCAAATGGAATCTCAATCAGCCAGGAGAAGTACATTAAGGAGCTGTTGAAGAAATTCAATATGTTTGACTCTAAACCTATTGATACTCTTATGGGAACAAACTCCAAGCTTATAGCAGATGAATCTGATTCTCTTGTGAATCACACCATGTATAGGGGAATCATTGGATTCTTATTGTATCTGACTGCTAGCAGACTTGATATTGTATATAGTGTTGGAATGTGTGCTAGATTCCAAGCATGTCCTCGCGATTCACATTTGAAGACTGCAAAATGGATTCTAAGATATTTGAAGAAGACATGAGACCTGGTCCTTTTCTATCCAGCAGGTGACACTTTTGATCTTGTTGGTTTTGCAGATGCTGATTTTGCTGGTTTTCAAGTTGACAAAAAGAGTACTTCTGGGATGTCTCATTTCCTTGGATCTTCACTTATCTCATGGGGAACTAAAAAACAGAATTCAATAGCTCTTTCAACAGCCGAAGCTGAATATGTAGCAGCTGCTGCTGTTGTTCACAATTGTTATGGAGCAAGCAACAATTAGAGGACTTTGGTGTAATCATCACGGCTATACCTCTTATGTGTGACAATACTAGTGCAGTCAGTATGAGAAAGAATCCTGTTCAACACAAGAGAACCAAGCACAATGATGTAAGACATCATTTTCTGAGAGACAATGTTGAAAAAGGAAATATTGTGCTTACATATTGTCCAACGGAGGAACAAATTGCAGATATCTTCACCAAGGCTCTTAGCAAAGATCAATTTGAGAGTAATAGGTTGAAGTTGGGCATGATGACTTTACAGTGATCTCCATACATTCAATCGTTGAATTTCCTTGATGGCTAAACTTGCAGTGCAGGTATCCTCTGTTTCAATAATATATTATCTAAGTTAGATCCATTTTGTACCTATTGTAGGTATACATTCATGAGGGACTAGCAAAGCAAAGACATGCTAGAACAGTTGAGGAATGATGATAAAGGTGCGTTACGGGACCTGGTCCTAGTCGAGGTTAGCATTTGTACTTTAATTTCAAAATGAGATAAAGTGACCGTTGATCAAGACACGTGTCAGTCATCGGTTATTCTGACCGTTATTCACATCGCTTACTTTCCAAGCGACGCGTCAAATCAATAGGGACGTGGCACCATTTTTTAGTTCTTTTTAAACCTTTTTTTCTCTCCTTTTCAATCCTTAATTCTCTTTGCAATATTCCTTCACTCTAAAAGAAAAGGAGGCTAAATTTGCCTTTATCTCTATTGTTTTTATTCTTCAATACTGCTACTCTTTTCTTCGTCTTGATAACATGTTTGATTCTTCGTCTGCCTCTAACCAAATGCTTACAACCCTTAGTGAGATTGAACCAATTGCTTTCTGTTCTCCTTCAGTAGTAGGGTCAAGGTCAAATCTTCCAACAAGTTCTTCCCCTGATATTCCCGAAAACCCTTTTCACTCTATAGATCTGAACAGTTCAAGTGTTCCTACTGGACCTGGTCCTCATCATGAAATTCTTTCAGATGCTCTTTTTGAAGGAGATTTGCCAAGGAACAAATCTTCTGAGTCGAACATTCTTGATGCAAGTGAAGAGTTGGTGATTGAGAGTCTTGCTATGATGAGAGAGGAAGTTAGGGTTGAGGAAAGTTAACCCTTTCAAGGTGAAGATATCAAAGAGACCCAACCTATTTTTGATAAAACTCCAGATTTTGGGAGATATCCATCTTCTGATTCCTATAACTCAGCAAGTGATGAACAATCCATACAGTGGAAGGTTAAAAGGAGAGATGCAAGTGTTCCTGAAAAAGGAAAAGAGAAAATGGTGGGAAAAGTGCCCAAAAGGAGACTAACTACTAGATCCGATGCCAAAAAGATGATGACTGATGATTTGAAAGCCAGTGCTAAGTCTACAACAGAAAACAGGAGTGTTAGAACTTTCAAAGTGTCCAATTTTAAAATGCCTGAGTCTGATGTCATAGAGGTATCTACTGAAGAGACAGAAAGAGGATACAGGAAGAAGAAATCAGGAAAGACAAAACCAAGAGATACCAAGAAAGAAGAGCAAACAAAATCCACAAAGGAGACTTCTAAAGGAAAGAGGAGAAGGTCACAGGGACCTGGTACACAAAGAAAAAATGAAGAACAGGTCAACAAACAAGAAACTGCTGACAATCTGAGAAAGCAGTCTATACTGGCTGGCAGGGTTTTTGACATGTGGACAATTAATCTTCCTGGAATGGGACTCTCTTCATGATATGGTTGAGATTCAGTCGTGGATGCATCTCTTCAATAAAAAATCTCCCATTCTTCATGAAGAGGAAGTGCTTGAGTTTTACGATAACATTCAATTTCAGGAAGATGGAAGTGTCCATACCAGAGTGAATGACATTGCAATTCACCTTGATGAAATTCTGTTGGAGAAAATTCTTAGGGTACCTCGAGATGGTACTAGGTCTGTAGTAGGGAAAACATGTTCTGTTGAATTTGTGACACTGTGTTCGAAGCTTCCTACAACAAAATGTTCATGGTTGTTTAAGAAAGTGATGAAAAGTGAGTATCAGTTAGTCTTTGAATTTGTCAACAAAACTCTACTTCCTCGAACTGAAAAGAGGACCTCAGCAACTTCTGCTGATTTGTATGTGATGGAATTGTTGTGCAAGTTTGAACCTCTGAATCTTCCAGGAATCATGCTTGAACACATTTATAAGATTGTCATTGAGAGGAAAGGAATACATGGAATGGGATATGGATACTTTCTCACTGAAGTATTCAAATACTTTAACATTCCACTGAGTGTTGGCAAGGTTGGTACAGTGAAGCAAGCTTTTTCAGAGAATACTTTGGTCAAATGTGAGTGCATTGAAGGGAAAGGAAACCCCAAGATCAAAATGGCTCAACTCATTGAAGACCAAGACCTACTCAAGCATGAAGTTGAAGAACTAACTATGCGTCTGAGTGGAAAGGATGCTAAAATTGCTATTCTCAAAGTCGAGTTGCTCACTGCACAGACAGAGGGACCTGCTACCGCTGTGGTTCAAGCCCTAGAAAGGAAAAATGCAAAACTGAGGGCCAAGGTTATTGCTTTACAAGAAAAACCAATAAAGGATAATGATGATGCTAATGCTAGACTCACTCTCATAATTCAACCCCTTTCCCATCAGTCTTCCCCTTCATAGTCCGTTCAAAACTCACTTCGTGTCTTCCTTGTGTGGCTTATATATTCGTCCTTGTATTTCAGTTTGTTGTTACTGTAATGAATGTTAATCTTGCAATGCTATTTATACTATTCCCCTGGTGTTCTAGCTAATATCTCTTGTCGAGTGTTTTCCTTTATGTTTGATTTCTATAAGGCTTTGATCTTCTCTAATATTAATTATTTTTGATAATGTTGGTTTACTGAATCTCTTTTTTATGATGCCAGAAGGGGGAATTTTAACTGATTGTTGTGGCTGGACATGTTTTTGAGGGGGAATATAGTGAGGGGGAAGACAATTTGTGCAGGAGGGTGGACAAATAATTCAGGGGGAATTTGTCCTGAAGCTGGAGTGGTGTCTGGAGTATTGTTTGTCATCATCAAAAAGGGGGAAAATGTTATTTGTAGTTTTGATGATGTAACAAACTCAGGGACCTTGTAAAGGTACCCGGTTCTCAACTTGAACAGTTCGTTGAATGCCAGCTGGAGAAGGTACAGAAAGTTGGTGCAGAGTTCCTAACTGCGTCAGAAAAGTCAGAACTTTCCAACCAATGACATGAGTTTAAGGAAAGGGACTTGTCTATACAATGTCATTTTCTAAACATGGTTCTTCAGTTTTTCCAACTTGAAAAAGTATATTCAAGAACTCTTGCAAGGGCTAAAGAATATAAAAGAGAAGAATCATTCAAGAACAACCTAAACCCAGGCGTATGTTGTGTAGTTGTTTGAGAATACATTCTTTCGGTCTTACATTGTAAACTGGTCCTAAATCTATAAAGGAATCAGTGTGGGTTGTGTTAAAATTCTAAGTTGTCTAGAGTGATAGCTTAGTGGGTAGAATAACTTCTACTTAGGCTCATCAAGCAATAGAGCTATTGCTTGTTGGTGAGATTAAAAACTTTTTCTCACATTTGTGTAACTGGTTTTACTTTTGCTTGCGAAAATTAGTGAAACAGTTGTGAAAATTCTATGAGACAGGTCGTGGTTTTACTCCCTTGAGCAAGGAGGTTTCCACGTAAAACTCTTCTATTGTTAAATTGCATTTACTTTCTGTTATATCTTTGTTTATGTGTCAAGGGACCTGGTCCATTGACTGATAGTGGACGCACAGATTCTAACACAAACCACTAAACTAAACCAGTAATACATAAAACAAAACGGACCACACAGACTGATAAGCACTATGGTATTAACAACTTAATATAGTGGTAAATAAAGCAGCCAGGTACCTGCTTTTGACACAATATTTTGTAGGAGAAAATTAGTTGTCTTCAAATTGGTGATGGTATAAGGATGGTAAAATAGTTTAGCACTTGTGGAGTTATCTTTTATTCAGTAATATACTTATTTTAATTTTAAAATACGGTCAAAGTTTTAATGACTTGCAGGGAAAGAAGCTTTCTGAAAACAACTTAATTTTACTTTCGAATCAAATGCCTACTAGTAACAAGTAGTTTACAAGTGTCTTGCAGTATTTGATTATGACAAAATTTGTGTTATTTTTGTATTCTAGCAAAGTAGTTGACTGTTTCTCACCCAAAGTAGATTCTTCTTCGAGTTTATACAAGTTCTTTCTCAATAAAAATGTGTTTTTTTTAAAAAAAAATTGACATTATATTACTACTACATTCATTGAACAATTATATTGGGTATGTTATTATTATTGTACAACTTGAAGTTGATAAACATGAAACTTTCATCTCAATTTATTAGAGTATTTGTTTTATTTCAGTTTCATGTTGTGTACTCAGAATATATGTTTCTGTATCTCTAGAGCACTGCGGTTTCTTTCTCATATATTGGATCTTAGCTATGACAAGTTCTCAATAATAAAAATTGAAATTTCCAAGGTGAAATAAGCATGAAGATTTTTCTTTCTCATATCTGATACATGGTCTATGATATATATCCTTTTTCAGATATGGATCTGTTCATTCGTTATGTTTTTGTTATTACTGTGGATTTTATTATTGTGACCGTAGCCCACGTACCGTGCTTGCCAATTAGATTTATGATTACTATGGATGCTTGCCAATTATATATGTATTTGAAAGTATGTTGACTTCAAAATATTGAAGTAATCAAATAGCTTTTTGACTTCTTATACTTTGAATAAGGAGAATGTACGAGTAATCCCTTAGAATATGATCGAAATTTCAAAGAGACACCTTAACTAAACAAAGATTCAATTACTTCCCTGAACTTATTTATCTTATAATTTTGTGACTTTTTTTGTTTACGTGACATACAAATATCTCCCACGCCTCTCAATTACATGGAGTCACGGAATGTGTCACATATGACAAAAGGTGCACAAAACTACAAAAAGAAATTAGTTTAGGGGTAATAGTGTT